CAGAGATAAAATACTCTGAGGAAAACTTTTGTTAGTCTAAGTTCTAAACAATTGCTGTGATTACTATTGAGTTTTAATAATAAATGGGTAAGCTTCAAATTAACACACTTTTTCCTTATCTTTTAATAAACATAGTATTCTTTTTTTAAAAAAAAGATTTTATTGGGGAATTGGGGGGAGGGGAACAGTGTTGGGGAACAGGGGAAGGGGAACAGATAGGTAGACAAATTGCTGTTTTTGTTCTTCAGTCTAGTTGTGGAGGATGTCGCTTCACTGGCCCATGTTGGTATGATCATTGTGCTCTTACCGGGTGAGGCAATCCGTCTCCAGTCATTGGTCGGCAGCTCACACCGACTGCCGGCCGCTTACGCTGGCTGCCAGCCACTCACATAGCTCACAGCAGCCCACTGCAGCCCGGCTGCAGCCTATACCATCGCCGGTGACTCACAGCAGCCCAGCTCCAGGTCGAGCTGTTGTTCACCATCTTAGCTGTAGAGGGCAAGCGTCACTGGACCTCAATGTGGGATCCGAACCGCCTCCCTGCTGCTCAAAGCAGGCACTCCCAAGCGAGCTCTTAACCAGCTGAGCCACTCGGCCGGCCTTAAACATAGAATTCTACATGAAGTCAACACATAGTGTTTTCCACTACACCCATTCATTTTGAGGAAAGTTCATAACAGTTCAGAATTGTCCAAGTACTCGCCCAGCCAGCCTTTATGGTAATACATACTCTTGAGTTTAATCAGTAGATGAGAAATACACAACCACACATACTGTGATAGCAGAGAAACACTTGAGTCACTTCAATTCTGCCATTCTACGTGGACAGTTAGAATTTTCATTTGTGTTTGAAATTTAAAATAACGACAGTGCAAACTGCAAGGAATATTATTTTTTCTTGGTAAGTGCAAACTTTTATTTCATACATGAAATGTTTTACTAGATTTGAATAATATCTTCTAAATTAAATAATATTTTTAAATTCTTAATTGTTCTAGAGCTGAAAAGTGAATCAACAAAATAATGATTCCTTCTAAAAATAATTTTTTCTTTTAGAGAAAGAAGTGTCACATACTCTAGGTATATCACTAGAGAAAGACATAATTTTATTTTTTTTAGATATTATATTTATTTATTGGATAATTAGAATTATTATGAATTAATCATTTACTTGCTGGTTAATTAGTATTGTTACTGAGTGAATGATGTTTGCCCTATGATTACTCTATCAGTCAGGGTTCTCCAGAGAAACAGAACCAATAGAATGTATACAAGAGGAGACTTATTACGAGAATTGGCTCACACAATTAGGGAAGCTGAGGAGTCCCATGATCTGCCATCTGCAAGCTGGGAGACCAGGAACGCCAGTGTAATTCAGTCCAAATCCAAACGCCTGAGAATCAGGGCCTAATAGTGAAAATCCTGCTCTGAATCCAAAAGCCCAAGAATTAGGAGCACCAATGTCCGAGGGCAGGAGAAGGTGGATGTTTCAGCTCATGAAGAGACAGTGAATTTGCCCTTCTGCTGCCCTTCTGCTACACGCAAGCTCCTAAAAGAATGGATAATGCCCACCTGCACTGGTGCAGTTGGTCTTCTTCAATCAGTCTACTGATTCAAATGCTAACCTCTTCGAGAAACACCCTTAGAGACACACTCAGAAATAATGTTGTACCAACTACCTGGGCATCTCTTAGCCCAGTCAAGTTGACATGTAAAATTAATCATCACAATTATAAAACTGAATAGTACAAAAGATATACATTGAAAAGTGAGTCTTGGGCCGGCCGAGTGGCGCAATAGTTAAGAACTGGCCTGGGACACCGGAGGGCCCCGGTTCGGATCCCACATATGAGGGCCAGTGACACTGCCCTCCACAGCTAAGATGCTGAACTACAGCTCAACCTGGAGCTGGGCTGCCCTGAGTCATCCGCCACGGCGTAGGCTGCAGCCCCTGTGGCAGTGGGTTGCCATGGGCTACCGTGTGTAGCCAGCAGCCAGCGTGAGCGGCCAGCAGCTGCAGTGAGCGGCCATCCAGAAGCCGGTGACTGATCTGCCTCACCCGGGAAGAGCGCAATGATGGTGCCAACATGGGCCAGTGAAGCGACATCCTCCACAACTAGACTGAAGAACAAAATGACAGCAACTTGTCTGTTCCCCTTCCCCCCAATTCCCCAGCACTGTTCCCATCCCCCCAATTCCCCAATTAAAAAAAAAATCTTAAAAAGAAAGAAAAGTGAGTCTTTCTCCCAGCCCAAATGCCCAGACCCATACGTTACTCCAAATGCAACCATTATTTACAGATTTTTTAATGTGTAGGTAGATATAATTTTAATCTCATTTTACAAATGAAGAAACGGAGACTTAGAGAGGTTGAGTGACTAACTGAGATCACCTGGCTGATGGAGCTAACAGAACTGAACTAGATCTTTCCTTGATACCACACTGCCATCCTGACATCATATCATCCTGAGTGCCGGGTGTACATCCTGGATCGAGGATCCTTGGAGGGAAAGAGCTGCACATGGCACCTGCTTGGGGCAGTACCCAGCACTGGGCCACTGGGCACTACAGCAGGAGGTCTGGGATCTGGCCCATGATTAAGCTGATGCATGGTACTAGGCAAATCTCTTGATTTCCCCATCTGTCCTTCTTACTCAGTGGGCTAGGCTGGGACACAAAAAAGCTTAGTAGAAAGGTGTTTGGGAAGTAAAAGTGTCATACAGATTCAAGGAAGGGAGGGAGTAGATATTGATGATAGGGTTAACTTCATACTTTAATTTGAGCACATGTGTCCATGTTCAGATGTAAAGTTCCTAAAAGCATGTTGCTTGTTCATTGCCTCTCTTCTTCTGAAGAGAATTGTTTTCCATCCAGTTCTCTACGAGTGCCCAGCCCAATGCACATAATAAGCCTGTCAAAGGGGCTGTGTGGGCACCTTGGTTTGGGACCAAGCCACATACCCAGGTAGTGACACTTGCTTCAAGGAACAGCACAGTTGACCCACCCAGCTGGGATGCAAGATAGATGAGCCAGAAAATTCAATCATGAGCAGCAGCATATATCTCCAAAGAAGAAACACTTTTCCTCTGCCCCCAGCTAACATTCTGTGACTGCACAGATAGTACTGTATCAGTTTAACCATCACTGCATAACCACACATCTCAAAACTTAGAGGCTTAAAACAATAACCATTTATTGACTCACAACTCTTCAATTTTAGCTGGGTTCAGCTGGGCAGTTTCTCTGCTGGTCTTCCCTGAAGTTGCTCGTGTGGCTGCTGTCACCTGGACTAAGATGGTCCAAGATGGCCTCACTTACATGTAAGACAGTTAGTTGGGGCTGTCAGCCAGAGTGCCTCAGTTCTCCATGTGGCTCTCCAGCTGAATAGCCTAGGTTTCTTACCTGGTAATGGCAGGTCCCAAGGGAGTGAAAGTGGAAGCTGCAAGGTCTCTGGAAGTCTATGTTCCAGAAGTCACACATTGTCACTTCTGACATACTTGTTGGCCCAAGCAAGTCACAAGGCAATTCCAGATTCAAGGAGTAGGAAAATACATTCTACTTCTCCATGAAGAAGATATAAAATATTTTGGTCATGGTTTTCAATCTTCCACAGTCTTTATAATCCATCAGTCAATAATTCTCATCAATCAACCAGCCTGCACTTGTTAACACCTAATATGCGCTAGATAGTGAGAATGCTGAAGAATAGAAGAACTCCAAGACACAGTCTATGCAGGAAAATTTTGAAATGAGCTAAAGATTACAGGATGCTTTTCCAGTGGAATTCTGGCTTTGTCTAGGGACCCCTCACTGTTATTTGAATCTATAAGGGTCTGCATCTTTGACTTTTTAAAAAAGTTTATAAAAATAATTTATTTTAAAGACTCTCAATAGAACTTGAACATCTTATTTTCAGATATACCAAGAAGATAATAAATATTTTCAGTATAACCTTTGATTGTTTTGGTTTGTTTTTTTTTAAGATTTTATTGGGGAATTGGGGGAGGGAAACAGTGCTGGGGAATCTTGGAGAAGGGGAACAGACAAGTTGCTGTCCTTTTTGTTTTTCAGTCTAGTTGTAGAGGACGTCGCTTCACTGGCCCATGTTGGTATTATCATTGTGCTCTTCCCTGGTGAAGCAGATCAGTCGCCGGCCCTTCGGTGGCCACTCACGGCAGCTCTTGGCAGCTCTTGGTAGCTCAGCAGCCCAGCTCCAGGTTGAGCTGTTGTTCACTATCTTAGCTGTAGAGCGTGCAGCGTCACTGGCCCTAAAGTGGGATCTGAACCAGGGCCTGCTGCTCAGAGCTGGTGTCCCAAGCCATCTCTTAACCAACGCGCCACTCGGCCGGCCCTGATTGTTTTTGACTAGACTCATGTATAGCTGTGTAAGTTGGAAAAACTGACATTAATGCAAATAATTTTTGTCCATAGAAATGCAAGTGAACTTTGTCAAGTGAGATAAAATTGGTTTCTGCCAGGTAGAAAAGATTATTCTAAATAGCAAATTTTCATACCTGTATGATATTAGCCAGTTTTTGTACCTATTAGCAAATTTATTTCAGCATTCCTGATTGCCTATGAATGTCTGCTCTTCAGATTATTCTTTAAATTGGTTTTAACAAATTGCAGATTTCCTCCTTCATTAGTGAGTTAAAGAAAATATTAGATGTGTGTGTGTTTACTTCACATTTACATGAGAGTCATTATTTTACCTTTGAAAATTACAGCACAGTTGCCTCAGCCATAAAATGGCAATAATAACAGTATCTCACCATACATAGGGTTGTTGGGTGGATGAAATTACAGTAAATATATAGATATATTATCATAGTACCAAGCCCATAATAAATGCTTAGTAAATATTATCTGCTTTATTGTTATTATTATTCAAAGTACTTAGAACTTAGTTGGGAAATCACACAAAACAGTGGCAAAGAGTTTAAGTACATCATTAAGCTTTAAACTGTGGCGAATCTCATTAATTCTGGTGCTCAAAATAGGTTAATGAAGTCTGGAGTCATCCAGAACGGCTTCCTGAAGGAGGAGTGGTCTTAGCTGATCCTTGAAGGATGAGCAGGATTCGGATAAGGAAAGAGAAGAGGGAAGAGATAGTCCCAGGTAAGGCAAGGTCAAGATGAGAAGGAGTATAACTTGGCCACGCTCTATGATGAGTTTAACCCTAGCTCCATCCCCAATTGCCTTTACCTTTGATTTATTTATTAAAGAGTACTTCACTATTCGCTTCTCTTTTATCCACAGGCATACAATAAAAACATTAATCAGGTGAATTATTTTCTCATCATTACTTGCCAAGAACACACAATTAACTAGAGATTTGTAAACTCCTGAGGGGCAGTAGTCGGGCCTTCAGCTGTTTCTCAAACATACTTCGGCATTACAGAGTCTGAACCAGTAGGTGAAAAGGGAAAGAGGGAGAAGTTGAGCCTGCTACTATCAAACAAGCCTCTACCACCTGGGTCCAGAGTTGGGTTCAAGTTTGAGACACTACATGGCAAATCTCTAGCCAAAGACTTCCCTAGTCCTCCTTTAACCAACAATCTTCAACCCAGGAAGTGGGAACTATGACATCTTTGGTTGTGGAGGTTGGATTTGGGCAAGAAAAAGCACTCTTCAAAGCAGAAATCCTCATCAAAAAGAACATTTATGGGGTAGAAGTCCTTGGAGGAGAGGAAAAACAAACATTTATAAAATAGCTCCTGGAGTTTATGATCTAATTAGGAGGATAAAATAAATCAGGTACACAACTAACTAGGAGACCAGGCCAAGAAGATGTCTTGGGATGTTGTGTTAGAATAGGTAGGGCTTCTCAGGCAAAAGATTTAGCCAAACTAAGAAGGTACAGCTATTCTAAGTAAAGACAATAGTGAGTAACAGTGGAAAAGCCCAGCGCCTGTTCTGGGCAAGGCAGACATTGGGGGCAACAGATAAGGTTGGAAAAGCAAGGCAGATTATGAAGTACTTTCAGTGCAAGGGAGTAGGGCCTTGAAAACAGATGGGAGTTCTCTAGAGAAACAGAAACAATAGGATATATATAGAGATATATAAGAAGAGATTTATTATGGGAATTGGCTCACACAAGTATGAAGGCTTAGACGTCCCATGACCTGCCATCTGCAAGCTGGAGAACTAAGAAAGCTGGGTGTAATTCAGTCCAAGTCCAAAGGCACGAGGACCAGAAGCACTGATGTCCAAGGTCAGGAGAAGACAGATGTCTCAGCACAAGTAGGCGAAGTGAATTTGCACTTCCTCTGCCTTGTTTTGTCATAGTCAAGCCCTCACAGGAATGAATGCTACCCACCAGCATTGATGAAGGTGATTCTTAACTCAGTCTACCAACTCAAATGTTAATCCCTTCCAGAGACAACCTCACAGAGACCATGTTGTACCAGCTATCTGGGCATCCCTTCCTGGTCAAGTGGACAAATAAAGTTAACCATCAAGAGCCCTGTTTTAGGTAAATTGATCCAGGCACTGAGTGCTGGGTAGAAATGAAGTGGGACAACTCCTGAAGTGGTCCAGAAGGGGAAGAGCCATAAAGCAGAGGCCATGGGGCTGGTGCAGAACGGCAGGGTGGGAGAAGTGTTGGAATTTTCACCAAAAGAATCCCCATTTCAGGTTAATCTCCTAAAAACTGGAAGATCTGGCAATGCTGGACCCACATTTCACTTGATAGTAACAGACAGTCTGGGCTGAGTTGTGACTGCTGCCCTCAGAGAAAGTGTACAGGGAATGCTAGGCTACCATATATAAATAGAAGGGTTTTAACACCATAAAGATTTGTTTCTTATTCGAGCAAAGTCCAGGATGAATGGGGCAACTCTCTTTTGCTGTTTTCCTCCTAGCAGTGACTCAGGGATCCAGGCTGCTTACATTTTATGGCTCTACTCTTTCAATTTGTGTTCTCCATAGTCACATCAGCAGGGAGCAAAACCATGTAAAGCTTTTAGCAGTCTGATGGAACACATGTTACTTCCACTGACAGCCTATTTCCCGGAACTAGTGCTCCCAGCAGGGGGCTGAGAGATAGGAAGCTCAGGGATGCGGGGTGAGCAGTAAAAGTTGGCCACAGGGAGCATGAGCTCGGCCTGCTGTTTGCCATGGTGCCTACCAGGCTGCTTAAATCATTCACATTGTCTTTCTGGTTCCTGCAGGCACTTTGCATTTACAGTCGTGGGTGCAAAAAGAGGAGACGGTTGAGGAGAGAACCCTTTGGAATGCTACCAGGGAGTAGTTATCACAAGAGAACCCCACACTGGCCAGGTGTCTGTGTGTTCCTGCCTTTCTCCTCCTCCCTAAAGTAGCTGCTATAAGCGACAGAACCTGGATGGTGACCTAACCATACCTTTCCCACTCTCCTGGGCACACCACTAAGGGGATACCTGCTTCTTCTCTAGAGGTAAAAATTCAAAACATTCTTGTGTTACAACCATTTGCATAGTTCAAATTCCTCATAGTCAAGAAGACTCCTATATTCTATCCACTTTATTTCCCCCTGCACTGTGTTTCCTCTGTTTACCCTTGTTCTATGGAGCTAACTAGGAAGAGAGTTGCAATGAGAACCTGCATTACTAGGCTCTGGATGGTACAGATGCCAGTGAAAAATGTTAAGAAGACTTAATGTATGTGTTGTCCCTTAAAACTGCATGTTTTATATATCCTATTTTTACCCTCTGGTATATATTAGGTTGTCGGAAAAGTCATGACATATTTTGTCTATATTTTTCAAAGGTCATTTATTTATATAAAGAACAGGGCCGGCCGAGTGGCGCATTGGTTAAGATACTGGCTTGGGACGCCAAAGGGCCCCGGTTCGGATCCCACATATGAGGGCCAGTGACACTGCCCTCCACAGCTAAGATGCTGAACAACAGCTCAACCTGGAGCTGGGCTG